TTTTTTTTTTTTTTTTTTTTTTTTTTTTTTTTTTTTTTTACCCTGTACCTGGATATAATGCTGCAGTTGGGAATGTAGTATGAATAAAATTTAAAAGAAATGGGACTGGAAAAAACTGACTTCTGCATTTATTAAAGAGACATTTTCTAGTACGTAGGGGAAAATGAACTCATTTTAAAATTTGGAGATGATTGCTAAATTCGAAGACTATAGTATAATAGTGTTAGCTAATACTGAGTATTATATGAAAGGTACCCCAGAGGTTTTATATATTAAATATCTAATCTTGCCCATGAAATAAACTTTTGTTATCCCCATTTTACAATGAGAAAACCAAGACTTAGAAAGATTAGTATTTTCCAAAATAACAAAAGCTAGTAAGGAGCAGAGATGAGATGCAAATTAAGTGTGACTGAATTCAACTATTGACACTAAGTTAAATAGCTGTTTACATGTCTCAGTATTGTATTATATCTGTATGTTGATGTAATATCTATTTTGTAGGATTTCCCCCCTGAGGATTTAAAATGATTAAGAGAAGCTTTAGTTGTTTTGTTTGAAGAGAAAGTCTCGCTGTGTACTCCAAGCTGGCCTTGAACTTACTGTGTAGCCCAGGCTGACCTCAAACTCACAGCAATCCTCTTGCCTCAGCTTCCTGGGGTCATAGGTGTCTACCACCACACCCAGCAAGAAGCTTTAGTTTAAATCTTACTAGGAGCCTGAAATTGGATTTATTTCACTCATTTTTTGAAGTTATTACCACTAAAGCATTATTCAGTTTAGACTACATAGTAGTCTGTAAAACTGTATTGCATATTGTATTGTAAGCTTTCTTTTTAAAATAATATGAATATTAATTTCCATTCTATGTCTTATCATACTTTCTGCATAACCTGATTCAATAGTTCTCATTACTTTCTTTTAGCCACAGTTCTTTTTTGTTTTGTTGGAGACAGGGTTGCACTGTGTAGTTCAGGCTGTTCTTGAACTCAGTATGTAGCTCAGGTTGTCCTCAGACTCACAGCAGTCCTCCTACCTCAGCTCCTGAATGCGGAGATTATAAGCATGCACTACACACCCAGCTAACTGCAGTTCTAAAGCTTAAGTTCTTTTCCTTTCTATGTAATCTTATAATGTTTCCTTTCTATATATTCTTATAACACTCTAAGCTTCTATTATTGTTCTCCCATATTCTCTTTTACATTATTTTCATATTCATTGGCTTTCTTTACTTATCTACAGACCCCTTAAGAAAAAAGGACATGCATGTTTTTTTGTTTGTTTGTTTGTTTTTTGGTACTGGGGATCAAACTTGGGTCCTTGCACTTGCGAGGCAGGCAGCAGAACCCATACATCTTATTTTTCTTTCATCCTTCAATAACTAACATAGGAGGTTCTTAGTTCTTTGTTTGAATAAATGTAATTATGGAGCAAAAGAAATGGGCTCTGCACAAAGAAAATCTATTTCAAATCAAAGAACATCTTCCATGTATATGATAAAGATATTTTGTCACAATGAGCCTAAAAAATTGTCAGTGTAGAGTAGAATCATGAAGCTGGGCACAGCAGCAAGTACCTATAATCCCAGCATTCAGGAGGCTCAGGCAGGAGGATCACAGTGACTTTGAGGCCAGCCTGGATTATGTAAACAGACCCTGTCTCAAAAAACCAAACAAGCAAACAAAGAACAAAAAATAGAGTAGAATCACATAGCACCATAGCACATATACATTTTTCATAGTTTAGTCAGCAAGCATGTGTGGGGACAACAAATAGGAAAACTAGAGTAAGAAATCCCTATACGTAATTTCAAAGGGAACATGATTTGATTTATGTAACGAATGGGTTTAACAACATACTTTATAATGTAATATTAAAATATGTGTAATGTGGGACAATAATGTGTAGATTTTCACTTTATATTTCTGTAACTTTATGAATATGCACATCATTAAAAAGTACAAAGAAGGTATACAGTTAAAAGCAAGTCTTTGTCTCATACCTTGGCCCCCTTTCTCAAGGACAAGTTAAATTTCCTGAGAATTTGTCTAGAAATAATTTTCTATATATGAACTTGTGTGTTATGAATTATTTTAAAAAGAAGTATACGTATTCTGTGCTTTTAATTTTCTTAATATAAAATATGTACAAAGTGTTTGAATGTGTGTGTGAAAGAATAAAAGTAAAATTACAGTAATACATACCATGACAGCTTAAGAATCATTTATATTGCTTTATATTGCTATGGGTGTCTGAAGTTCATTCATTTTTATAACAGTAATATTTCAATGTTGATTGTATATTTGGATTTTTTCCCTACCATCTTAAATGCTTTCTTTTTGTCCCATTTTTTCTGTCTTCTTTCTCCTCCATTTCATCTTCTTTTACTGATTGTTTTTTGTGTTTCACATCTTTTTTCCTCTACTTGTTCGCAAGTTATGCAGTCTATACCTTTTAGCAACTGTCTAGTTATTTTTATCATAAAAAGCTTAAGCATTTTAACTACAGTCACTTTGTATCCATCTTATATTCTTTTGTTTTGCAATTCTGTAGTTCTACCTGGTGCCCTCCAACAAAGTAGGAATTTTAGGAATTAATATTGTTCATATGTTTACTATTTATTTAGATTTATCCAATTTACCATTCCTTCTCACATCACAAGAATCCGCTTGGAATTATTTGCCTTCCCTTCTGGCTAATTTGAACTCCTCTTTTCCTATGGTGTACACACCAGTTTCTTCTTTATAACCAACTTGAGATTTGATATTGCTTCCTGCTCTTGAACAAACAACTCTTTGAAAAATTTAGCCAATCTCTTCAAATACTCTTTTTCACCTCCTCTGTTACTTCCTTTGAAACCATTTAAATATGTTATACCTCAGTCTCCCATTATCACTTATCTTTCACATTTTCTGTCTTTGTTTCGCTGGACTATACTTCAAATAATTTTTTTAGATTTATTTTGCAGTTCAGTAATTTTATCTTCATATGTCTAGTTATAATTTCATTATAAAATTTTCCATTTATAGATGTTCTTGCCCCCTGTTACTGGGGATTGAACCCAGGGCTTTTGCACTGAGCTGCATCCCTAGGCTTTTGAGACAGGGCCAGGTTTGAACTTGGAAGCCTTCCTCCTTCGGCCTCCCACCGTGCCTCGTTCTTATTTCCTAATTTTTCAAATGCACTTTCTCTTTCTATTATCAGAGTACTTTGAACTTTTTATGTAGACAGTTATTTCTGTATTCTGTCTGTTAATTTTAAGATAGTCAGACTTCATGGTCTATTTCTGCTAATGATGTCTTGTTCCCTGTATATTTTGTAGTATTATTGTAAATTATCCCCCCGCCCCCGCCTGCTGGAAACTTGTCTTTGGGACTTGTATTATTCCTGATGGGAAATCTGCTCCATCCTGATCTTTGCTCCTGTTTTGTTTTCTTTTCCCTGACCTGCATAAGATTTTATCTCTGATGTGTTGTATACCTTGGTGTAATTTTCTTTATGTTTCTTCAACTTTGAGCTCCATTTATCTTCTTTGTATATTTGTGATTTTTATCAAATTTTGAAATTTTCAGCCATTATTCAGATTTTTTCTGTCCATCTGCTCTCTTCAAGAGACTCCACTTTCACCTTAGATTTCTCAGTTATTCCACATCTCCCTATGCTCTCTCTGTTCATAATTTTTATTTTTCTGTGTATTTCATTTTAGATCATTTTTATGGCTATGCCTTCACTCACAGTTCTTTTCTTTTGCAGTGTTTAATGTGTTATCTCATTCAGTGTATTTTTTTAATTGAATTGGTACATTTTAGGTGTACAGTACAGTTACATTCATCATTGGGATCTTGTACCTTTACATGACAGGTCTTGGTTCTCATTTTTTTCATTCAGTGTATTTTTTTAGTGTACATACTAGACTTTCTCTCTTGAAGCACATTTTCAGTTGTCTACTTTTTTTTTTTTTTTTGTATCAGGGATGAAACTCAGGACCTTGTGCTTGTGAGGCAGGCATGGTACCACTGAGCTAAATCCCCAATCCAGTTGTCTACTTTTTTGAGTATGTGGAATATTTGTAATTATTTTTATTCTTATATGTGTGAATTTGGATTGGTTTTGGTGGAGTTGGGTGGTGTTGTTTTTTTTTTTATGGATGGTGTTTTCTCCCTTCTATCTGTGCCTTGTCCCCTCAAGTATTCCACAGAATACTGATTTGTGTATAAGGAAACTACCCAAATATAGGCAAAGGTGATAAAATTAAGAACAGTGTCTTCCTTACATTCGTTCACAGAGGGCTGGAAGTGATGGTTGTTCCACAGTCATACTGAAATCTCGTAATTTGTGGAGGAAAGCACTCAGGAAGGTCTTGCCTTAACAGTGAGAGATTATTAGCCCCAGAATGGACTTTACTGTGGGTCCATGTAAGAGATTTTATAAGTATGACCTGAAGAACTAGGTTGTTTCCAAATAACTGCATCCCAGAACAAAGCTCAACATTTATAGGAATACAAAAATACCCAGAACCCAATAAAGTGAAATTCACCGAATCTCTATTTTTGTTATACATTTCTTTATGAGTAAGACTGAACATCTTTTGTGTTTATAAACCATATATATTTCTTTTTGGGTTAGCAACCATTCTTGTTCTTACTCGTTTCTTTTTTGGTTGTTGGTCCTCTTTGCTAGGTATCTGGCTAATACAGTTGAAGAAGATGAAGAAGAATCTAAATATGAAATTTTTCCATGGGCTTTAGGGAAAAACTGGAGAAAATTATTCCCTGATTTCTTAAAGTTAAGGGACCAGCTCTGGGATAGAATTGACTATAGGGCTATTGTAAGCAGGCGATGCTGTGAGGAGGTAAGGATATAAAAATACTTCATATATGGTAGTCTTTGCATTTGTTATCTAATTTTCCTTGTTTTTTAATGTGCTTCTAATGTTTCTTCCTTTCTTGATATATAAGGATAGGTCATTAACCCTGCTTATTACTGTGAGTACACCTTTGTGTTACCATGTTGATGTTTGAATTTATACCACACTAATTAAAGATTGTCATTTGTTTTTAAGAGCAGGTTACTTCTGTCGTGAATATTTTTATTTTATCATGTTTCTCCTATCTAAAAGATCACCAATATATTAGTAAAGTATGGCTTAGACATACCAAAATATCTTAGTGAAGATTGTAATAATTTCCACTAAAATATGCGAAATTTCAAGTTCCTAAGATTAAAATACAGCATGGTACATAATTTAAATAAATTTATAGCCCAGGTGTAGGTGGCACACATGTAATCCCAGCTCTTGGGAGGCCGAGGCAGAAAGATTGCCATGAGTTTAAGGCTAGTCTGGGCTACATAGTGAGTTCAAGGCCAGAATGAATTATATAGCAAACTCTGTTTCAAAAAAGTAAAAATAAATAAATAAATAATTTGTATATGTTTAAAAACCATGCTACTTCTCACATAGAATACATTAAATTTCCTTGATGTCAGATTTGGGGGAGGGTATCAGATAAACCAGCAGTTTTAAAAACTAAAATTTTTAAAAAGTTATTTTATCAAATGTTTGGAGGTTTTGTTTTGTTTTGTTTGTTGTTTGAGACAGGGTCTCACTATGCAATTCAGGATGGCACTGAACTCACTATGTAGCCCAGGATGACCTCTTAACTCAGAGAAATCCTCCTGCCTCAGCCTCTGGAGTGCTGGGATTGCAGGTGTTCACCACTATGTCCAGTTCTATTCTGGTTTTTAATAAATTTAATGTTTCAAACTAAATAATAATGCTGCAAAATTAAATGGAAAGCAATGATGGCTGTAAACTTTTGTACTAATTCAAAAATCTTGATAAATGTGACTAGATAACTCTGTAATTGAATGAAAGTACTATCTAGTTAAATAACTGGCCAAAGAATCTAATTAATGGTTTTGTGTCAAACCCGAGTAAAGAGGTACATGGTATGTCACAGAATTCTGCTCAGGACTAACCTTGTGAATTATATTTATTAATGGGATGAAGACATACCCAACATGTATATTTACAGATTAAATTAAATTAGGATTGTTGACTCCTAGCAAAATGCAAGTATTCAGAAGTAACTTAGAAGACTGCACAGCAGGTCAAGCCTTTTCAATAGAAAAAGATGAAAAGTTTGGCATATGAGTCCCCCTCAAATTAACAGATCCTCATTAGAGTACTTAAACCAGACTCATTCCATTCACAGAGCATTAAAAGAGTCCTAGAGTTTTGCTTATTTGGTTTGATTTTGCATTTGTTTTTGTTTGCTTTTTGTCACTACCTCCCCCAGGTCAAGACTGGATGATTTGCACATCTTTGAAAGTGATAGGGCTGTGTTTGAATACTCTAACTTCTTCTGAGTGAAAGATTGTGGGCTTGTAGGGTGATCAAATAAGGTCATGGGGGGCACCAGGAGCAGGACTCAGGACTGGCAGTAGTGGCCTCATGTAGGCGACCCACTCACCCTCAGCTGCAGGGACGAGCATCTTGTCTGCAGCCACGTCGTACATGGTATTAGGACTGCTATTTCCTCGGCTGATGGCACAACACAGAAAGAGCCAAAGAGAATGGTGTTAATGATTAGTGTGAGCGTGAAAGACAAAAAGCAAAACAAAGTGTATAGACAGCTGAAAAGCCAGTTATATAACAGGACTTACAGGAAAATGTAGATTTAGGCTGCAGGAAAGAGGAAGCAATCATCAGGCTATGAAGTACTGCACTTGCTTCTGCATAACTGACCAACAATTGTATACCTAGAAAAGAGCAGCTAGAATAGAGCAGGATCTCAGGAGAAAGATGTCTCATGTGGAATAATAAAAAGGATCAGAATTTTTAGCATGACGAGTCCTTTTTATTTCTACCTGTATAAAGTAATACATAGCTTAGTGGAATAGAATTGAAGACTGGAAGCTTGCTGGCTCTCCCAGCCCCCTCTCCTGCCTCCCTTCACTGATTGTGAAGGAAATTCGAAAGGGAGCCAGGCACAGAGGCAAGTGCCTGTAATCCTTGCCACTGGGTTGATGGGTCAGCTGAGGTAGGAGAATCATAATTCAAAGCCAGCCAGGCGTGTTGGTGCACACTTGTAATCTTAGCTCTCAGGAGGCTGAAGCAAGAGGATGGCTGTGAGTTTAAAGTCAGCCCGAACTTAACCTTGTCTCAAAAAAAACCCCAAATATACAAAATAAAAATAAGTTCAAGGCCAGCAAAATTTTGAGGCAGATAGTGCCACCACTGGGCTAAATACCTGGCCCTAAGGCTAGCAAAATTTAAAAGGGTTGGGAGTGTAGCTCAGTGGTACAGTGCATCCTTGCATCATGAGATGCTGGGATTAGTCCCCACAAGGAGGGTTGAGGGATTCTCAGTATTTTTGTGCTCAATATTTTTGTCCTCAATATTTTTGAGGACAGAAACCCTGAGGCAAAAGAAGTCTTCTGTGTCAGAATCAGAAGTTCAATTTTAGGCCTGTTAAATTTGAAATATTGGACAATGAAATAATAGGCAATTTAATGTGAATTAGGAGTATCAGCTATCCATGTCAAAGCTGGGACAACTGGCTACCCAAAGAGGAATAAAGTTGGATCCACACTTTATATCATATGTAAAATTTAACCCAAAATAGATCAAAAACCTAAATGTAAGAATTAAAAGTATAAAAATGTTGGGCCGGGTGTGGTGGTGCACGCCTATAATCCCAGCACTCGGGAGGCTGAGGCAGGAGCATCGCTGGGGAGACCAGCCTGGGATACATAGTGAGTTCAAGGTCAATCTCAACTACATAGTGAGACCCTGTCTCAACGCCCCCGCCAAAAAAAAGCAAAAAAAAAAAAAAAAAAAAAAAAAAAAAAAAAAAAAACTATAAAAATGTTAGAAGAAAACAGACGTCTTTATGACCTTCAGTTAGGTCTTAAGTATGACACCAAAAGTACAAGCAACAAAATAATACATGGATTAAGTGGATGTTATCAAAATTTAAAACTTCAAATCGTGCATAGTAGCACACGCCTGTAATCCCAGCACTGGAGGCTGAGGCAGAACGATTGCTGCAGGTTCAAGGCCAGCCTGGGATACAGGGTAAATTCCAAGCCAACTAAAATTACAAAGCAAGACCCTGTCTCAAACAAAAAAACCCACCAAAATTTAAAACTTCGGAGGACAACAAGTGAAGTGACAGTCCATAAAAAGGGAGAAAGTTTTGTGAATCATCTATTTGATAAGGAACTTATATCTAGAATATAAAGAGCTCTTTCAATAATTAAAACAACTGCTGGGCGTGGTGGCGCATGCCTGTAATTCCAGCACTCTGCAGGCTGAGGCAAGAGTATTGCCATGAGTTTAAGGCCAGCCTGGGCTACACAGTTTGAGGCTAGCCTGAACTGTATAGTGAGACCCTATCTAAATAATAATAGTAATAAGAACAACTAAAATATGGGCAAAGGATCGAAATAGAAATTTCACCAAAGATGTTGAACCTCAGCCATCAGGGAAGTACAGATTAAAAGCACAATGAAGTATCACTTCATACCCACTACAATGTCTACGAATAAAAAGATAAATTTGGTGAGGATGTGGAAACTCTTAAACATTTTTTTGGGGGGGATACTAGGGATTGAACTCAGGTCCTTGCACTTGCAAGGCAGGCCACCGAACCACTGAGCTAAATCCCCAGCCCCTAGACACTTTTGATGAGAATATAAAGTAGTGTAGTGGCTATCTACTTTGAATAATAGTCTGACAATTTTAAAAAACTATTATATAAAATTACCATATGATCCAGGAATTCTCTTAGCTAAATACCCAGAAGAAATGCAAACGCTGTTCACATAAAAACTAATACACACATGTGTATAGCATTGTTACTTGTAAAGCCAAAAATAGAAACAACCTAAATGTCCATTGATGAACAGATAAGCAAAATATTCAATTAAATAATTTTAATGAAATATTTCTTGAAAATTAAAAGGAATGAAATACCAATATAAGCTTAGATGGACCTTGAAAATAAAGAAGGCAGTCACAAAGAATCACTTATATGGTTCCATTTATATGAGAGGTACAAAATGGACAAATCTGTAAAGCGATAGTAATTATTGCTGGGCATGGTGGTACAGGTCTATAATCCCAGAAGTTGGGAGGCTGAGGCAGGAGGATTGTTGTGAGTTTGAGGCCAGGCCTGGGCTCCATAATGAGTTCAATGCCAGCTGGAACTATATAGTGAGACCGGTTTCAAAAATAAACAAGTATGCTGTTGCCAGGCATGGTGGCGCACACCTGTAATCCCAGCACTGGGAGGCTGAGGCAGGAAGATCTCTGTGAGTTCAAGACCAGCCTGGGCTACACAGTAAGTTCCAGGTCAGTCTCAACTACATAGT